AAAAAAAAAAAAAAAAAAAAAAAGTGGTCAAAGATCAGCAATAGTCAGGAGGGTCAAACAAACAGATGTTGTACAGAAAATGTCTACAGAAATGTGCAGAACTATATTTAAATATCATACAGATATGTCATCAAGGAACAATGGCTGCATTGAGGTGGCAGCTCACTCTTTTTTCCCCCTCCATTCTCCAGATTTATTGAAATGTACCACTGGGAGTGGTGTCACACAGCTGTAATTCCAGCACTTGGGAGGCTGAGATAAGAGGATCTATAGTGTAAAACCAGCCTGAAGCCAGGTGCCTGTCACTCACGTCTGTAATCCTAGCTACTCAGGAGGCAGAGATCAGGATAATCACTGTTCAAAGTCAGTCCAGGCAAATCGTTTTTGAGACCCTATCTCGAAAAAACCTTCACAAAAATAGATCTGGTAGAATGGCTCAAGATGAAGGCGGAGTTCAAGCTCCAATACTGCAAAAAAAAAAAAGACTAGCCTGAGTTATATAGTTAGACCCTGTCTTTAAAAAAAAAAAAAGAAAGAAAAAAATTAAGCCAGGCAGGGTGGCCCAAATCTGTAATCTTAGATACTCAGGAGGTAGAGTTCAGGAAGATCGATGCTCAAGGCAAAAAAGTTTAGGGGACCCATCTCAAACAGTAAAAGCATGGGTGGCAAGGTCCTGTTATCCCAGCTAAGTGGGAAGCAGTCCAGGCCAGCCAGGCGTGAACATGGGATGTTATTGCAAAAAGAAACAAAGCAAAAAGGACTGGGGATGTGGCTCAAGTGCTAGAGCACCTGCATACCAAGTGCAGCCTCCTAAGTTCAAACCCTAGTACTGGAAAAAAAAAATAAAGTCAGGCACCAGTTGCTCATGTTTATAATCCTAGCTACTCAGGAGGCACAGATCAGGAGGAGGATTGAAACCAGACCCAGGAAAAAATCAAGAGACCCTATCTTGAAAATACCCAATACAAAAAAGGGCTGGTGGAGTGGCTCAAGATGTAGGCCCTGAGTTCAAAGCCCAGTACTGCCTCCCCAGGAAACAAAAACAACAACAAAAACAAGAAATGTACTTGTCTTGTTTTAATAATGGAAAAGTAACTAATAGGCTTGAGACAAAAAGCCACTCCACCAAGGAAGGATAAACAGATGTGCTCAACCTTAAGGGCACTTAGTGCCTGCTGGGAGGTATTGAATCAACTCTGGGTTCCTGTCAGGCCCTTGTCCCTGACCCCTTCCCATGCATGGAGGATATCTCTTGTTGGCTTTATCCTCAGTCAGGTGCTTGAAGTTCAGAGTGCAGCTCTGGATGAGCTGGTCCAAGGCCTGCTCTGTGCTCATCAGCTCCTTCAGCTCCTGCCCCAGCTGTTGCTGCTTTGCAGGCCGGGTGGGGTCTTCAAATATTCCCCTGCCTCTGGAACAGAGCAGCCCCCAGTATCAGAGTTAGTCCAGATCCAGGAGCCCCACTCCATAGCTGCCCTGATGAAGCATGGGAAACTCCAGTACAAGGCTAGTCACAAGGTCTGCAATGGTGCCCTCTGGGTTGTGCGAACCAGGGGTGGTGCCTAGTTCCAGGGAGTCCCATGGATTGGAACTTGAGGTTTGGGGGTGGGCTAGAGAGAAGAAACAAGTGAACTCTATTTTTATCCATCTCTATGCCCCAGCCTCCCCCAAATGGTAGGAAAGCAGAGGGACCTCAATCCTGGCTCCCTGTGTGGGTTTTCTTAAGGGTCATGTCAGGGGCTGAAAGTCTTTAAGACCTTGTAGCCTTCGGGACAGGAATATGGTTTACACCTACTCAGTTCCCGGGGGGCTTTCCAAGCCAAGACAGGGGATCTCACTATCCCTGCCACGCAGGAAAGATATGGGATCCTCTGAGATCTTTACACCCGCTACATCTCCATCTCCACTCTGCCCCACTCTTCTCAAGCTCTCCTGCTGTTATTACTCCAGCACTTACACCTGCCAGGCACCTGGCTCAGTTTCTTGCCCCCAGCCTCTCAAACCTTACTGGCTGCTCTCCGTCCACTGCCAGCACCTGTGCCCATTGGAAAGTTGCTATCAGCCCCACCCCTGACATTTCACACCCATTGGCCATTGTCCCTAGACCCACCCACAGCGCGTGCACCATTGGACGGCGGCATGGCCGGCACTCACACCCACTGGATGTTGTTCTTGGCCTTCTTGCGGATGAGCTGGATACCCTCCAGCACATTGGTGATGTCGTAGATGCGTCGCTTCTGCACATCCAGCACCTCCGCAGCCCAGTTCAGATCCAGGACCCCATCCTGAGACTCACTCAGGAGGTAAATGAACTTCTTGGTGAGCAGCCCCAGTGATGTGTCATACCGAGTCTTCTCCCCCGGGGACTTGGGGGCTGAGGAGGAAAGAGGAACACTCACAGCTCAGAGGGGCCCAACCTAGGGACTCTCCATGGACCTGGATCCATTAAGTTCTCCCCTCCCCACCACTTCCCAGTCTACAGAGCACTGTCCCAGAGACAGGGAACCTGATCACCTAAGGGGAAAGAGACTTGCCAGGGGCTACTGTCAGGACCAGAAACCAAGTGCCCTGACTCCTGGTTCCATCACAGCTCAGCACAGCCGTATTAACAGCTGTCACAGCTGCTCACTGTTCTTCACACTTTCCATATGCAAACAAATCTAATCCTTACAACACCCTATAAGGTTAGTGAACAACATCCCTATTCTGTAGATGAGAACACTGAGGTACAGCAGTGTGATGTAACTTGCTTAGTTCACTTAGAGTATGGCAAAGCTAAGATTTCAATCCAGGTAGTTTGACTCCACAGTCTTCCTTCTTAACCATTACCCTCTCCAGCTAGTTATGCCAGGAATTTGCAATTACAGTAGGTAGGGAAAAACAAGCCTGGATTTGAGAGTGTTTTTATAGATGCTTTTTCTTTCCACATGTAGCCCAATAATTAGCTGAGAAGAAACAGTCATATAACATCAAACGGGGCAGGTTCACAAAAAATGTCCCTTTCTCAATGCGGCCGATGTCACAAGACCACATGTCAGCTGCAGCATCTTAAATCACAAGGGGACTTTTGCAATCAAGTGACTTGCAAGTCACATAGCAAGTTAGTGGCCAAACTAGTTCTGGAAGCTGAGTTGAAGAGTCTCAGATTCCTCAGGAAGGGGGCTTCAGAATTCCTTAACACATACATGGCAAGGTATTGGCACACAGACTGCTTCACCAGGTTTTGTGTTCATGGCAGACATTACTAATCAATCAGGGCACTCTTTTCCCCTAGTCTGCTAAGCTTTGGAATTCTTCAATACAGTGCTCTGGGCAGCCTCCACCAATCAACTGGTGATCATTCCTGATCTGCCTGTGCCTCACTTTACAGATGAGACAAGGGGGTTCACAAAAGGGAAGAGATCAGTCAAGTCAGGTCAGAGCCCTGCCTGGATCCCCAAATTCCCTTCCTTTCCCCAGTGTCTTAAGTCATACCTTCCTTCATTAGGTACCTGGGAAAACTAGCATTTCTCCCCAAACACACCAGCTTAAACTCTCACCTTTTTTTTTTTCCCCCAGTACTAGGGACTGAACTCAAGACCTTGAGCTTACTAAGCAGTTCCTTTACCATTTGAGCCATGGTACCAGCCCTTTTCGCATTGATTACTTTTGAGATAGGATCTCCCTTTATGCCTGGGCTGGCCTGGACCTCGACCCTCCTTTGCACTTCCTGCATAGCTGGGATGACAGAGATATACGCCTCCATACTCAGTCATTGGTCGAAATAGAGTCCTGTGAATGTTTTGCAGGGGCTGGCCTCAAACCAGGCTCCTTCCCATCTCCACCTCCTGAGTAGCTAGGATTACAGGTTGAGCCACCATGCCTGGCCTTAAACTCCCACTTTAACCAGAATGTTAACTGAAAGTATCCAAAGGCAGAAACTCCTCCAGCTTAGCTTTAAGAAAGCTCTAGTCGGGAAGCCTGTGGATCCTAAAAACCTCTGAGCTGGTACAGGCCAGATGAACCCAAGCTTCTCTTCCCTTTGAATTATCTAGCTCTCTGTCTTTATGTGGGAGAAAGGCTCCGGTTAGCCTCTGCTCCCCTCTGAGCTAAATTCTCTTTTAGAAAAGATCAGATTGAACTAAATATGAAACTTAAAAAATAGTAGGCTCCTGAATCAACACTGGTGCATGGTGTGGAAGAAACAGTGTACAACATCCATCGGTTTCAGTCCTGATGCCACTTACTAGCTGTGTGGTCCCAGGCCAAGTCCCTTGAGCTGAGTCTCAAGTTGCCTCCTCAGTAAAAGGAACATAATCCTATCTACTAGGCAGATCAGGAGCAAGAACACACAAGAAACCCTCGAAAACAGGAAAGTGTGATACAAATATTAGTCCTGGTTATCTGGGCAGGGCTGCTGCCCTCTGCCCCTGCCCCACCCCACCACAGATTCCGCCATAGGAAGCTCTTACTTTTGGGGCTGGGCAGGCCATCCACTCGGATGCACTTCCCCTTGGGAGTCCGGAATTCATGAACTGCAGGCCTGCCGATGCCCTCCAGGTCCAGCTTCCTTTTGGCCTGGGAGAGAGGGAGAAGAAGAGGCAGTTTGAGAATCAGTCCCTCATTAGTCTCTCCCCAACCTGAGCCAAGGCATGGAGGCTACCAGCAGCCACCTCCTGTGTCTGTTTGCCACTAGTCCTGGTGAGGCACGACAGCACTTGGTAAGGAAATAGCAGTGACCTGAGAAGTGAGTGCTCAGAGCGGGGAAGTCTTGTTTTCTGAAGGGCAAATGAAACTCCCATATCTGGGGCCCAAGCCCTAGAGCCCTACCAAACACAGGGTGGCCAAGGGTTCAGGGTTGCTTAACCACAGTTCTCCCTCCCCCCAACCATACATGGAGAAGTGGGTGTGACCTAAACCACATCAGGCTGGGGACGGGGCCCTTCCGTAGAAGCAGCTGGCCCAGCCAGGCTGGGTGCCCATCACAGCCGCACAGCTGGCCCTTATCAGGGTGGGGTTCAGCATCCACCCAGACCCAAGGGACTTCCTGGCTTGGTGTGGGTACCATGCCCCAGGGACGTACCCACATTGGGAGGCCTTACAAACATCACCACCCCCCATGTACAGGCTCCAGCCCAGGGCCTCCTGAATAGACTGTTTGCCAGTCTTTCTTCAATGAGGGACAGACAATGAGTCCTTCCTTCCCCAGTGTCTTAAGGACAAGCAGCTGAGACCCTCCCCCCATCCTACCCCTCCCACCCCCCCCACCCTCCACATTCCCGCCACGCTTGAGAAACACCTGCTGAGGAAACCAAACCACAGACCCATCTGCTCCTCTCCACCCTGCCACCACTGACACCACCTGGTAGTGGCCCCATGAGGCCAGAGCTGCACTGCCCGGAAAGGGCCTCTCTGCTAGTTAGGGCTGGTCAGGGGCGGGGCGAGGGCAAGGCCAGGGCACTGGAGCACTGGGACAGAGTCAGCTGGACTCTCCAGTACCCTCCCAGGCTCACTGTGTGTCCTGGGAACATGTTCCATAGCTAGGAGCCTCAGTTACCTGCTCTGTAAAATGGAGCAGAAAAATCCCAACCTCCAGGGTTACTCAGGAGTAACTTCTAGAAAGTTCTTAGCCTATGGCTTGGTGCACAGTGGGGACTCAGGAAATGTACAGTCCCTTCTCCAAACCAGATCTTGACATCTTCCTGGACACACCCTCTGGGGGCCACTAAGCCATTTCCTTCCTCTACTGTGCCCCAGTCCCCCAGATCCCCCGCCTTGGCTGAAAGGCCTATTTTAACACTTTGGTGATGAGGTCATGCTCGGCAGGGCTGGGACTTGTAACTGCTGCTGAGCACAGCTGGGCTGACAGGTGGAGGAAGGTGACAGCCCCTCCTGGTTTCAGTCCCCCTTCCCCACTCCTGCCTCCTCCAGGAAGGCTTCCTGGACTGAGTGGAGGAGCTCTCCCTTGCTTCCAAGTGCCTGGATGACTCTCCTCTCCTCCATCCCTATCCAGACCCAGACATAATCTAAACATCTCTTGCTCATTTCTGTTGAAGTCTCTCCTGAATATTCCTTATCTATCTCTCCCCCTGCGAAATCCTACACTCCAAGGGTCTGGCCCCACCCTGTCACTAGAGAAAGGCCCAGTCACTCACTGAAACCTTCCACATGCTCTGCACCAAGCCCCAGCACCCACCCCCTCAGTGAACCTCCCCATCCCCACCAGGACCCATTTTACAGCTGAAGTCATGGAGGCTGTGAGCCCCAGGACCTTTGTCAGTCTTGATCAAAGCTGTCCACCCTAGGATGCCTCATCCATCCCTCAGAAGGAATACGGAGGGCAGAGAGGAGGGGATAGTCAGCCCCTGCCCACCTCTCCCACGAGAACCTCATTACCTGCATGGGGAGGGATGTTGACCAGAATCTGGTGCCAGGCCTGTCACATGCTCCCATGTCTTGCAACAATACTGACAATCTCTCTTGGCAAGCACGTGGACTTGAGATTAAGGTGCCATGGTCATGGCAAGGTCACACAGACAGACAAGAGGCAGGGTTTGAACCCAGGTCTACCCAATTCCAAGGCTATGTACCTGGCTACCTCAACTTCATCCCACACACATTCCTCAGGATTTGCTGGAATGCAGGCCAAGACCTGGTTATGCCCGCCCACCACCACCCCCATCATTTCACACACACTGGCCACCTCACTTTTCTTCTCCCTCACCCCTTTCTTGTACTCCCAGGGTCCCTAAGTAGCAAAGTGTCTCCCACCTGAGGGACACCTCCCTGATACCTTTGGGCACTGCCTAGAGAAAAGTCAGTGTGTAGCTGGCCTGAGCCTGCAGAGCACAGGTGACAGAGGGTAAGCCCCAAGAAAGGCTGAGCCCAGGCCTTGGGGTCAGACCAGCCTGATTTGAAGCTAGGCATCCCCCTTCTTAGCTGGGTGAGTGGGGAAAGCAGGTGACCTTGCGTCAACTGTAAAGTTGGTGGGGATTACTCTCTACCTCTGTTGAGGACTTAGAAAGACAGTACAGCAAAGCATCCTGCCCAGGCTGGCAAGTGGCCAGCAAGGGCAAAGTTCAAGGATGAGCTGAAAAGAGACAGCAGAAGAGCAAGGGTCTGCCCCACACCCAGAGGCCAGCATGGCTGTAACCTGGATCCTCTTAGGCAGCCCCTTTGACCTGGCTAGCCCCTTGGAAAAAGAGCACTTCTTTCCCGGAAGAGCAGAGATCCCCAGGTACAAACCCCTTACAGACTGGGCACCTGTAATCCTAGCTACTCAGGAGGCAGAGATCAGGAGGATTGTGGTTCAAAGCCAGCCCAGGTGAATAGTTCGCAAGACCCTATCTCGAAAACACCTATCACATAAAAGGGCTGGTGGAGTGGCCCAAGGTGTAGGCCCTGAGTTCAAGCCCTAGTACCACCACCAAAAAAAAAAAAAACCCTTACAGGCAGCAAGG